GCGTACATACAGCACACTAGCGGCCCAGGAGCTCGGGGGGACACAGATTGCTCAGCCCCCAGCCCCACTCCAGCGGGAAGCTCAGTGGCAGTGTGGAAAGCCTCTCCCCTGCTGCTCCGACAGCCATTGGCACTGGAATGGCTGGGAGGGTGGAACCCCGCCCCCCTGCCCCCCGACCAGCCATTGGCACTGGAATGGCGACTGGGCAGGCTGGCGTGGCTTAGCCATCACCCGGTGAGCTGTGCCTGGAGGTCCAGGTGACAAATCGGAGGGGCTGTGGGGCTGGAGGGCTGGTGGCCGGGAGTGGGGCGAAGACAGTAGCTGCCTCCCCACCGCCTTCCTGGCAACCCTAGAAGCATTTTGGGGCAGACAGTGGGTTCAGCTGGAGCCTGAGCGTTGGCGTGCCTGGGCATGGTGAGGATCCCGAGAGCATCCACGAGGCTCATTTGCTGGTCTCCTGACGAGCTGCATTCTTCCAGCAGTGGGAGATGAAGCAGATCCAGTTGGTGGCATTTGAATTCTTGAACAGACGAGCCTGACAGTGACAAAGCTGGTCCCCGCAGTGCCCCAGCTTGTCTCCTGCTTCCTGGCAGGCGCCGAGGGGCACAGCACAGTGTGAGCACCCCACCACCTCCTTCCATTTTGGCATGATTCGGCTTGGATTTTAATGACTACAGGTCATGTCTTGGCTGCCTTGTCGCATGTCCCATAGCCCTGGGACTGCTCTCCTGCCCACCTGGTGAAGCAGGGGCATCCTCTGGCTGGGAGGCCATGCACAAGCTGTTCCGTGGGCAGGTGACAGGGTTTGTTCCTTAATGGATGAGTGGGGAGAAGGAGATTTATGCTGCTGGGGACGTGCCATCTCCCACTGCTGGGAAATGTCTCCCGAAATGCTGGTTCAGTTCGTAGTCCTTGTTGTCCTTGCTGATGCACAAGGTTGGGATCATCCTAGAGGGATGAGGCCGACCTGCAGAAAGTCTTGCAGGGAGGTGGGTGATTTGGAAACAACCCAGGGGTAAAGATTGGGAAGGAGGGTGTTATTTCACCTGGGAAAGAGGAGTGCAAGAGTCTTCCCCTATGTAAAATCTTGTTCCCAAGAGGGTGGTGAGCAGCATCCCACCCTGGCCCTCGGATGGGCCAAGAGGGAGCTGGCTTCCTGGGAAGCAGTGGGTCTGACATAGCAGGAGCACGCTGGAGCTGCTGTGCGTGTCAGGGCTGAACTGGTGGGCTCTGGATGCATTGGCCTTTGCTGTGTATGTGTAGCTCGACATTATGGATTACGTGCAATAAATCCAATGCTTTGGGTGCCCACTGGAGGGTCCTGTGTAGAGATAAGCCTCGCTCCCTGCACTCCCAGCTCTGTCTCTGCTGGCTGTAGGAAGGGCGAGCTCCTGGTGGAGGCTGAGAAGGGAGATGGCACGGCACGACCTTGCGAAGGGACGAGTCCCCTTCCCTGCCCTACTTACTGGGTCCTGCTGTCCTAGCCAGAAGCCTGGCCCCAACGCCATTGGCGTCCCACTGTTCTCCTCTCGCTGAGCTCCTCCACCCGTGTGAGACTGCATTTGATTTGACTCGAGGGCTCTGCCTTGCAAGCTCCGCATCCACCTTGCTGCTCCATCTGTTGGCTTAGCTGCGCAGTTAGCAAGGGGCTTCCTTCTCTGCTGCAGAGCACGTTATTGCCTGTTGAGCGTCTCTGTTGTTTTGCCACATTGTTGAGCCTTTGCTAATTTGCTCCCTGCTTACGCCTTTGCCTTTGGACTCTGCTCTCCAGTCTCTCCAGGTTGTTTCTTTCCCTTGCAGCAGCCTTCCTCTCCACTGGGATAATCCTAAGCCCACGCTGTCCTATGTTGACACCCATCTCTTGATTGCACTTTGCTGCACCTCTGCCTATGCTTGCCTGGCCTCTGCCTGCCTGCTGGTCTCCTTTGGAATGATCACAAGGGTGATCTCCCTTGCATGCCCTTTGGATGATCCCCTTATCCATTTTTTTAGATGTTTGCCTTATCCATTTCTGCTGTTCTGGCCCCCTACCTCATCACCTCTGCCCTTTCCTCAAGTCTACGCAGCCTCATCCCTTTGGTCCCAGCCTGGATGGGACAGCGTTCCCAGCTGCCAGCTCTCTGCTCCTTGTTGGGCACGTTGTCCTCTCCAGAGCCCAGCTGCCAGTGCTGAGCTCTGCAGCAGCCCTGCCAGGAGCTGAGTTGCTCTGGGAAAGCGCAGAAGCAAAGGCCAGCTCACTAGCCTGGCTCCCAGCTTGATTTGTACACACACAAATGAAGACCACCAGGCTCTGGTTTCCATCCAGTTCCTTTGGGGGAAACCCCTGGATGAAGAAATCGAGTATTAAGTGTCCTTGTAGCTGTCCATAACCAGGCAGGCGTTGGCATTGACAGTGAGTGTCTGGCCACTTCAGCATTGTCCCACCGGCCTGGTCTGTGGCCCTGGGCTTTGGCTGCAGGGCACCTAGGCTCTGCTGGCTTTGGGGGGACAAAGCTGCTTCCCACCCTGGCAGGCTGGAGCATGCTTATCTCTCTTATAGCATAATTCTTGAGGGTGAAGCAGAATTTGACTCAAGAGCCAGCCCAGGACCCTGCTCTTTGTACAATTGTGCTTTTTTACTCCTTATAAAGCCACAATTCCCACATGTTGTGTGCGTGGAGGGGATGTCATTTGTGCTCTGGGGGAGTCACTACTGTGGCTGTGTGTTTGGAAGGGGAGTTGTAGCAGCCTAGATAAATTGGAAGGAGAGGGTATGTCCCAGATCCGCTCTCCTGGGTATCCCAGGGTGGGTTTTGGTAAGTCAGCTTGGGATGCCTTGGAGGCCAGACTGGAGACCTGAGGTTTTAGACTGGGTAGAGACCTCAATGTGAAGGTTTCTTTGCTCCGAGATCCTTTTAGTTGTCCCCATCTGCATTAAGTGGTGAAGGGCCAGCTGGATGCATCCAAAAAACCTGCGCATTTTGGAGATACCCAGCTCTAGTATGTGTTGCAGTAACCTAAAATAACGAACCGAGCTGAAGATTGGCTGATGGGCTGGTGGTTGGCAGAGCAAGGGGCAGAGCGGTGGGGAGGGCTCTTGTCTGCGTTGTTGCTGAAAAAGCAGGAGTGATATGAGCCGCCTCTGCTCTGCTGCTAAAAACAGCCCGACTTGTTTTTATTTAATACAGTTTTGGTCTGCGTGTGTTAGTGTTTCACCTGCTTGCAAGTGGGAACTCCGGGCTCCAAGCGCCTTGGAAGCCCGCCCGTGTCCCTGTGCGTCCCTGCAGCACCGGGATTGCGAGTGTCGTTCCTCCTTGGTTGGAGGAGGAACTCTGCTGAAATTCAGGCTAAGAGACATTGGGACGGGACGAGTAAAGCTTCTGCTGGTGTTTGGTTTCTGCCACTGTGGTGCTGGTGGGTGAACTGGGGCTTCGCAGAGCCAGTTCATGCAGGCTCTCCCAGGAGAACAGACTCAAAAATGGCTCACGTGAGGTTTTCTCCCTGTCTTACTTCCTCAGCTTCCTGCCAGCATGGAGGTGGCTGCCCGCGCTGGGAAGAGGGTCGGCATTGGCTCCCCTGTCGTGGATTCTACCCAGTGCCGGCATTTGGCTGGGAAATAAATGACTCGAATCAGCTCAGTCCATTCCCAGGGGCAAAGGGAGTTGGGAATGAACAGGATTTTGTAAAGTCATGATTGATGTGTCCATAGAGAGGGCCAGCCCTGGATGCGAGGAGCCCCAGAGGGATGGGGACCCTGACCGAGGATGCCTGGGCAAGCTGTGCCGGGGGGATGGGGCAGGGAGGAGGAGAATAGTCAGGACAGGGAGGATGATAATCAGGGTGATAGTGGGGTTAAATAAAAGCTGTCAGAGATTTGGAAAGGGGAAAGGAAGAAAAAGAAAACCTACTGAAGAAACACTCTCCCTCCTCACCCGGCTTGTAATCAGCCG